AATCAGTCCAGCCACGATAGACATGGCATGGAAATAGAATTTCCTTTGATCCACGCACACCACTGCTGGGTATATTCCCAGAAGAATCAGAGTCAACTACAACAGAGACACTGCACACCTATGCTATCGAGGCACTATTCACAATAGCTAAGTTATAAGATCAGCCTAGGTGCCCACCAGGGCACAAATGGTAAAGAAAACGTGGCATATATCCACAATGGAGTTTTACTCACCCATAAACAAAAATGAAATAAAATGAAGGGAATGAAGATCACCATGTTGAGTGAAATCTGTCAGACGTACAAAGACAAGAATCGTGTGCTGTCTCTCAAATGGGGAACGGGGTGGGGGGACATGAAAGTAAAAGGATTATTAGGGGTGTGGAAGGAGAAAAGGGAAGAGGGAGGAGGAATAGGAGGAGAATAGAGGGTGTGAATAAGATCAAAGTATGTTTTATGTACAAGAGTTACTGTGTACAATTAATTGATGTTAAAGAAAACATCATGGCAATAAAAAGCAGTTACACTTTAAAAACATGCTATCAGGGAGGGGTGAGGATAGGTAAAAAAAATAAAAATATGCTATCAATTTTATCAACATACAGCCTTTGACATTTTTGGTTGTTTGGCTGTACTGGGGTTTGAACTCAGGGCCTCACGCTTGCTAGGCAGACGCTCTACCAGTTGACCCACCCCACCTGCCTTTGACGTTTTTCAGACCCAAGCGGAAGTTGGTAAGGCAAACATTGTTAAGGACTGCTGGGCCTTCAGCCTGTCCTGGTAGCCCTGTTCACCAAGTGACAGGAGAGTCTCACTTTTATTCTGTATTTACCACAGCTCATGTCGTGCCGTGTGTCGTACGTCACAGATCAGAAAAGGCTTTGAGATCGGTTTAAACATGTAATTATTTCAGAGCTTTTAAACTACGCTAAGGAGAAGGCCACACTTGAAGCACAAAAATAAGAACCAAGTTATTTGACTTCAAGCTTTACAACGTAGGAGGGATCAGAGGACTAGAACACCCGACACGGGTTGGAGATTAGTGTCTCTGTGATGCTCACTCAGACCTTCTTATAACATTATCTTCTTTATAGCTGTGCTGGGTGGGGTACATTGGGGCATTTACAAAAGTTCTTACAATGTATCAAATACATCACACTCGAATTCACCCCCTCCATTATTCTCCTTTGTCCCCGCTCCCCACCTCCTGGAATGGTTTCAACAACTGTCATTTTTGCATTCACATACATGCATACCCTAATTCTATTTAAAAAATACAAGTGAGCCCACCTTTATGCTTTGTTTCAGCACTGATTTTTCCTGATGTTTGGTGGGCCAGCACCACGTCGTGTAATTACAGCAGCCTTGTAATGTCGCAGGTGAGAGCTCCCCGCTGCTTTTCTTTTCCAGAGATCGTCTGGCTAGCCTTACCTGTATATTTCTACATAGTTCAGAACCATCTTACCTAGCTTAAAGAGTCCTATCAGCATTTTTATAAGATAATTTCTAGATTATTTTAGGAAGAACAGACAAGCTTAATGATTTGGGGCATTTCTCCCAAGGTTGTGGTATGCCAGTCCATTTGCTCAAGTCTTGTTTTATGTTTATTGGCTGTGTTTTATGTTTATTTCATGCAGATCTTATGTTTGTTGTTAAGTTTATTTTAATATATTGCCATTTTTCTTTATGAATAGAATTTTCTTCCATTGTGTCTTTCATTGCTGTTCTAGGACTTCATTTCTATAGTCACTTCATTGAATTATTTCACTATTTGCAGTCTTAAAAAGTTATGAGTTTTAAAAATTTGTCATCCTGTCTTATGTGGTAAGGATAATTTTACTCACACATTTACAGTTTTTATCTCTTTTCAAAATTTTTGGCTGGTATCTTGAGAACAACACTAAACAATTGCTATAACAATGGACATTCTTGTTTCAACAAGAGTTGAATCTTGCTGGTTGCCCTGGCTTACGTCTGTAATCTCAGCTACTCAGAAGGCAGAAATCAGGAAGATCGAGGTTGGAAGCCAGCCCAGGCAAATAGTTCATGAGACCCTATCTTGAAAATACCCATCACAAAAAAAAATAGGGCTGGTGGAGAGGCTGAAGTGGTAGAGCACCTGCCTAGCAAACCTGAGGCCCTGAGTTCAAACCCCAGAACCAACAAAATAAATAAACAAACAAATAAATAAATAAATAATTGATGGATGACTAGAGTTAGAACTCCTGATTTTATGTAAGTTTAAAGGAAAACAAACTTTTGCATGCTTAAGCAAAATGGGGTGATTTATCGTATGGAGTAAAAGAGAATCAGAAAACAGGTTTTGTTTTTTTTTTATTGTTTTATTATTCATATGTGCATACAAGGCTTGGGTCATTTCTCCCCCCTGCCCCCACCCCCTCCCTTACCACCCACTCCGCCCCCTCCCTCTCCCCCCCTCAATACCCAGCAGAAACTATTTTGCCCTTATTTCTAATTTTGTTGTAGAGAGAGTATAAGCAATAATAGGAAGGAACAAGGGTTTTTGCTGGTTGAGATAAGGATAGCTATACAGGGCATTGACTCACATTGATTTCCTGTGCGTGGGTGTTACCTTCTAGGTTAATTCTTTTTGATCTAACCTTTTCTCTAGTACCTGTTCCCCTTTTCCTATTGGCCTCAGTTGCTTTAAGGTATCTGCTTTAGTTTCTCAGCGTTAAGGGCAACAAATACTAGCTAATTTTTTAGGTGTCTTACCTATCCTCACCCCTCCCTTGTGTGCTCTCGCTTTTATCATGTGCTCAAAGTCCAATCCCCTTGTTGTGTTTGCCCTTGATCTAATGTCCACATATGAGGGAGAACATACGATTTTTGGTCTTTTGGGCCAGGCTAACCTCACTCAGAATGATGTTCTCCAATTCCATCCATTTACCAGCGAATGATAACATTTTATTCTTCTTCATGGCTGCATAAAATTCCATTGTGTATAGATACCACATAGAAAACAGGTTTTTTAACCGAGCACCTGTCACGTGTCTCACAAAATTCTAAGGCAACAAAAAACCAGGCAAGTGCTTTCTCTCTTCCCTCTTCCCTCTTCCCTCTTCCTTCTTCCCTCTTCCTTCTTCCCTCTTCTCTCTTCCTTCTTCCTTCTTCCCTCTTCTCTCTCTCTCTCTCCTTCTCTCTCTCTGTCTCTCTTTCTCTCTCTCTCTTCCCCCTCTGGTCAGCTTTCTCTGCCACTTAGCCATACTGCAGGAGAGCATGGTTCCCCTTGAGTTCCCAAGTTGCCTGTCACCATTCCAACCATGAAGTCTTATTAAGACTCTTACTGCTCAGTTCTGCCCCATCTGTGATGGGGAGAGTAGGTTCACATTACAAACACGGCTGGAGCAAGTCCTTAATGATGTCACCTTGAGATGGACATTTACTCCAAAAGGCAACCGTGCAGTAGTATAAGGCATGCACATGTATAAATAAATACGTGGTTCAGGAAGCACACAAGGCAGTTGTAGTTTCTTGAAGCATGTGAGCTTCTTTAACACCGTCTGACTTCATGGAAGTCTCTGGAAGCAGAAGCTGACACTGGGATTCAGATGCCTGCAACTCTGGAGGATACTTCTCTGAACGACCGAAGGGAGAGCTGTAAGTAGAATCAGGAAGAAGAAAGCCGAAAGGCAGGGGCCAGCCAGAGCCTGGATTGCAGGGGCCCTCTGCAGAGCTGTCCACATTTAAGAAGAAGGGTAGCCCTCTGGTAGTCTTCAGCAGTCACTCTCTGAGAGGGCACATGACTGTCCTGGCATCAACCGAGGGCACTTCTGAGCCCTCTGCAGTCACCAAGCACAGTAGCTGCAGGGGGCGGGTGGGGGAGTTGTTAGCAGGGAAGTGAAACATCACCTCCATCCTCCATTAATACGCTTTCTGTCCCACGGAGATGGCGTGACAATGTCATGTTATGTTGCAACACATTTGAAAAACACGAGACAACGTCAGCTTTGCAGTGAAATTCTTTGCCCTCTCCTGCCTCCCACTTTCTCATATTTCTTACAGGGAATCTCAGGCTGGGAAGTAAAAGAGAATCAGAAAACAGGGTTTTTGCTGAGCACCTGACATGTGACTCACGTTGTGTGAAGTGCAAGGTGGGGATGCTGACCTCTCAGGAGCCATCAGGAAGAAGGCGGGTTTGCACATAAGAAAAACCGGTCGGACCCAATGGCTTTCCGCCAGTGCATCATCACGAGGGCTGCCGAGGAGCAGAATCCCAGCCAAACGCTTGCTCTGGACGTGAGGAACCACGCCCAGCATCTCCATGCACTCTGAGTGGGGTTTGAAAGAATTCCCACCACCAAGTGCCAGAAGGACACAACTGAAAATTGTAAGCGACATGAAGAAAGGCAAGGACTAAAAGAACTGTCGGCGGCATACTCAGCAGACCTCTTGAAGCAGGACAGGAAAGGAACCTCATTTGTCACACGCTCGCCTCCTGTGCCAGCGAGCATTGTTTTCTGCATCCCTGGCAGGATTAGAAATGCCAGAGGAAAGTCTGCAGAGATGTTATGGAAACCAGAATGCTTCAACTCAGAGTCATTCACTGCGCACTTCAGGGTCATCTCACTTTCCGTCACCTCTGCTTCACCCTGTGCCAGGGTACCCCAGTCGAGCGTCCATGTTTAAGGGGGCTCCAATCAGCTGGAATGAGTAAATGAGAATTGCAGGGCCGGGGGAAGGTGATGCCTTTGGGCACCACGTGTTGGAGCGTGTTCACACTTGCCTCACCATTGTCAAGACTGCTGGTTTCCATAACGCAGGAGCTGTGTGGCTGTTGGCCGCCACCTGAGCGGAGGAGCGTTTGCTGCTGCCCAGACTGTGCCATGTCACACGCTCTCAGCTCGCCTTCAAGGCTACACAGGGACTGCTGCCCCGGCCACCAATTTTGCTGCTGGAACTGGAATTTGTCCAGCAGCATCTTTCAACACAGGCTGCTTTGGTTTTTGTCTTGTGTCTGAGAAGGTAATTAATTGCACGATGAGGATTTTCATAGCTTTTGAAGGATCTTTTGAACCGTTCGACGTGGCAGCAGACGAGACGGTGGAAGCCGTCAAGCTGATGATAAAGGTAGTGTCCTGGAGTCACTAAAAAGTCTATTCGTTTTGGTTACCCAGTGAAAGTTAAGACGTGCACGTTAGGCACGCTTTCAGCACAGGGAACGATTTCTTGAGATTGATAAGAATGTGGTAACTTGGAACTGTTGGGCAGACAGCAAACTAAGCCAGTAAAGAAATTTCGCTTCCTATAGGGAGTTTGTGGGTTGTGTGGGGCCAGATAGCCACTGCGATTCTTCAGAAAATGACAAGGACAGGACTTTCACTTTAGGCTGGTGAGTGGACCCAGGGTCCCACAGATGCCTGGAAGGGACCAAGCAGATATAAAGAACGGAGGGGCTCTGGAGACACAGAGGATGGTGGAGAACTTGTAGTAGGAGTTCTTTGTGCTGGGAAGCCTGAAGCTCGGGAGGGTCTTACCTGGGGCCACACTGCTGAGTTAGGAGCAATGTGGCAGAGTGGCTCTCGCCTAAATGTCTTATAGCTATCCACTCTAAAATGAAAAATGAAGCACAGTGCTTTGTTCCTGGCCATCAAATCCTGGACTTGGAAAAGGCCATTCCCACTCGCTAAGGAGCATTTACTGAGCCTTCGTTAATGATATTTTGAAGCTTACCTCAACCTAGATCTTCTGGCACAAAGGATCTTAACCTTTATGTATCATGGATCCTTTGGAAGTATGGTACAGTCTAGGAACTCCTTCTCAAAATGTCCTTAACTGCACAAAGTAAAATGTGTGTGCAGTGTGCTGGTACACATCTGTGATCCCAACACTCGGGAGGCCGAGGCAGAAGGATTGAGAGTCCAAGGCTAGCCTGGGCTACACCGGGAGACCGGTCTCAAATAAAACAAAATGGAAACCAGTTATAGTGAAATACAGTTTTCTAATAATAAAAATCAAATTTGTGCCAGGTGCTCATGGCTCATGCTTATAATTCCAGCTACTCAGGAGGCAGAGATCAGGAGGATTGAGGTTTGAAGCCAGCCCAGGCAAATAGTTCACAAGACCTTATCTTGAAATCTCCTTCTCCAAAAAGGACTGGCAGAGTGACTCAAGGTGTAGCCCTGAGTTCAAATGCCAGTGCTGCCAAAAAAAAAAAAAAATCAAATTTGTGATATAGCAGCCTGTATTATAAGACTTTTTGTTAACATGTTAACTAAGAAGTTCTTCCCATGCATTTAATAATGTATGTTTGAAGAAGTGATAAGTATATATAACATTTTGAAATATCTGCACAACAGTAATGTGACGTGACTTGATTCTTATTAGTGACAAAGTCACAGGTACAGCTGACTACTGTTAGCTACTTTAGTTTATTGCCTATAAGAATAATTAAAGGGGGCCAGGTAGAGTGGTACTCACCTATAATCCAGCTACACAGGAGGCAGAGATAGGAGGATTTCGATCTGAGGTTGATCCCAGACAAAGACATAAGACCCTTATTGAAAATTAACTAAGGATAAAAAGGGGACTGGGAGCATGGCTCGAGTGGTAGAGCACCTGCCTAGCCCTGAGTTCATCCCCAGTGCCATTAGAAGAAAAGAAGGAGAAGAAAAAAATCTTAATTTCACTTAAAGTTAATGAAAATGAAGATGCGGTTTTGTTTCCTTTTTTTTAGTGGTGGTGCTAGGGTTTGAACTCAGGGCCTTGGGCTTGCTAAGCAAACGCTCTACCACTCGAGCCATGCCCCCATCCCCAGATGTAGTCTTTTGCCACCTACATTCTCTGCATAAACTTTTGAAGAGATCTGTGGACTCGAAGTTAAGATCTCGCTCTAACACTTCTTCCCTTTGACCCAAAACAATTTTTGTTTTTCTTTTGGCAGTCATGGGGTTTGAACTCAGGGCCTATACCTTGTACCACTCCACCAGTCCTTTTTTGTGAAGGGTTTTCAAGATAGGGTCTCGTGAACTGTTTGCCCAAGCTGGCTTTGAACCACGATCCTCTCAACCTCAGCCTCCCAAGTAGCTGGGATTACAGGGGTGAGCCACCCCGTGCAGCTGACCCAGTACAATTATAATGCTAAGTGGGGTCGGGGGGAGAGAGGCCTCACAGTAGTCTGGGCCAGCAGTGCAGAGGTGCCCTGTCTTCTCAGCGTGCTGTTGCTTTTTAAGGATTTCTTCCACATCCCTCTCTCTGAGCACAAGCACAGCAGGCGGTCTCTGGAGCTCGTGTATGCCGGAGCAGCTCTGAGGAACAATTGGAGTCTTGCTGACGTTGGGATCTCGTTCTGCTCGACTCTCAAATGCTTTCTGAAGGTATGATGAGCAGAACGCTTGTCCAAGATGTCCATCTCCCTTTAAATTAAGCTGTGGATAGTCCGAACTGCATTTCATAACTTAGAAAGGGCTTTTCTTTTTTGCCTTCTCCTCTTCCCCATTTGTGCAAATGGCCTTACGCATCTTTGTCTGTGAGGGGCAGAAGACAGGGATGCTGGGCAGAGCTGCCCTTGTCTACCCCTTTTCCCCTTTCCCTCCTTGTCCCCTTTCAGCCTGCCTATCCTGTCATGCAAATCTCACCACAAGCAAATTTTAGACCAACCCTAAGGGCAGGTCTGGACTATTGCTAGGGGATGAAGAAGGTTAGGTCACTTCCATGGGAAAAGTGATGAGGGGCAGAGGAGTGAGGTCTTCAGTAACAAGAATGATAGGTGTTTCTGTGTTCAAGTCTGGCAGGCAGCCATGCATGCTTGGGGCCGTGGCTGGGCTTTAAGAGCCTTAAAAAACTTGAAAATTGTAAAAGATGCAAAAATATGTGTCTAGAGATTTTCTGGGGTCATTTTCTTAAACTTCCATGAATTGTTTTTAAAAGACAAGCGAACCAAATCATTTAAGAGTTGCTGCTCTAAGATAGAAATGTCATCCCGTACCGTAAGTCTGCCTGATGTGTGAATTACTGTACACAGTTTTAACTAAGAGTGGTGAGAGAGAGAGAGAGAGAGAGAGAGAGAGAGAGAGAGAGAGAGAAGAAAGGAAAGAAAGGTAGAAAAGAAAGAAAGGAGTCAGGCGCTGGTGACTCATGCCTGTAATCCCAACTACTTAGGAAGCAGAGATCAGGAGGATCGCAGGTCGAAGCCAACCAGGGCAAATAGTGCATGAGACCCTGTCTAAAAAAAAACCCTTCACAAAAAAGGGCTGGTGGAGTGGCTTAAGGTATAGGCCCTGAGTTCAAACCCCAGTACCACAAAAAAAAAAAAAAAAAAGAAACTTCAAAAATCCTAGCTCGCACAGTCTGCAGCTCATGGAGAGGTCTCTGTGAGTCCCACTTGTCATCAGGTGTCTCTATTCTGCGTGATCTGCTGCTTCCCTGCTCTTTGTTTTGTGCAAACGCACCTCCCAGGGAGCAGATGGCCCAAGAGCAAGGCAAAAGTAAACGTGCTTACACGAAGTGACAAAGTGAGAACTTTAGAGAAGGCGAGAGCAACATTACGGAAAAAGCGATCAGGCGTCCGTGATGTTTGGGATTTTGATGAGCAGTGCTAAGTGTGATTCTGCGACCTTGATGCAGCCAACGCCACGCGGCTTCAAGTTGGGGGCGCTCAGCCCTCCCGTGCATAGGGTGCAGTGCACTTGAGTGAGCGCAGACTGCTGGGCACCCAGGGTGTCTTCCATGGCAGGCCTCCTTGGAACCGCACCGCGGATGCCCTTTTGCAAGCACGTACTTCAAGGAACTAGTGAAGCCCACGTGGTGGGAGGGGCACTCACGTTCTCGTAGTTGGCATTAAATGTCTTACAGTCGTCAAAGTGAACTCTTAACATATTTTAGTATCAATAAGCAGTGAAGACACGTCACAAAACAGTGGCTCACGGTGTAGGCCCTGAGTACAAACCCCAGAAAAAGAGTCCTACAGAGTTAGCCTGACCTCTTACTGCAACACAGCTTCTCACAACATTGCAGGGATGCCATCAGAAGGAATTAACTAAATTTTGAGCTCAGCACTTGATTGGTGGAGGCAGGGAAACTAGGGAGGGGCATAGGGAGCTGAGCCCTCCTCAGACTCTACAAGACACATGTGCCAGAGGCTGCCTCCTTGCCGAAGGACATGGATGTGTGACAGGCACCCCAACCAGGCCTGCCCATCCACCCCACTTTATGTTAAGACCAGTGAGGCAGAGAAGCAGAGGCACAGGGAGGGTCCTGGCAGGCCTGGACACACAGCTGGCAGCGTGTCCAATGCCTGCTCTGAGGGCTCAGTGGTGGCTGCAGTGTGGCCTTGCTGGACTAATTCTGGGGCATGATTTAGATTGTCCTGGCTGCCCAATCTCTCACCGCTAATCTGCCTGACAACAATGTGAGCTACCCAAAGCCTTTCAGTTTATTTTCTGCTAAATTATCCACGGTCCCTGCTGCTTGCAACTAAGAACCCTGTTGTATTCAGAGCAAAATAGAGGGGAGCACTTTGCCTTGAGAATCGGGGGAGCATAGAAAGGCGGGGACTCCCTGAAAGGCATCTCCATCCTCACTGAAAAGTCAGACAACTATCACACACTTCATTAGTTTTCATCTTTGCTTCCCAAGGCCTTTATTGACTCATTCATTCAACACGTTCTTATGTCAAGCTGATTACAGATACTATTCTAGGCCTTAAGTCACAACAGTGGACAGAACTCAAGCAGTAATTTCCATGACAACCCATGGCAAAACAAGGAGGCAAGTGTGACAGCACCTCTGCACATCTGTGTGTCATACAGAAACCTGGGTTGTGTGGCACCTGATGCCAGGGCTGTAAGAACACAGCAAACTGCACAGCAATACAACTTGGAAATAGGTGCCGCAGAAACTACTTCTTCCTCCTCTTCTTCTTCCTTTCTTCCTTGGTGGGACTGAGATTGGAACTCAAGGTTTTGTGCAAAGCAGGTGCTCTACTGCTTGAGCCACATCTCCAGTCCATTTTGTTCTGTGCGTTGGCTGCCCTGCTACTCGTAATTGTGCTCTGTGGCTGTCTTGAATAAGCTCTTTCACCTCTACTCTCCTTACAGTGTGGGCAGGCTGGACTCCAGGACAAGAGTAGGGTTCAGTGCAAAGCTTCGAGCACTGGGACAGATGACCCTTCATTGCAGAATTTGCCTGGGCTGTCCCTTTTTTTTTTTTTTTTTTTTTTTGGCGGTACTAGCACTTGAACTCAGGGCCTACACTTGAGTCACTCCATCAGCCTTTTTTCTGTGATGAGTTTTTTTGAGATGGGAGTCTGGAGAACCATTTGCCTGGGCTGTCCTTGAACTGCAGTCCTCCCTATCGCAGCCTTCTGAGTAGCTAGGATTACATGTGTGACCACTGGCCCCCAGCAAACAATCTTTCTGTTGGTTTTTGTAGTTCTTTTCTGAAGAAGGAAAAGCTAACCCGATGCTCCTTCCCATCGTTCCTATGTCACCCACGTGCCCTTTCTCAGATGTGTCTTCCTTACCATTAAAGGAAAAAGTGCAGTATGCAGGAACACTAGAAAATGACTTTTTAAAAATATATTTAAGGGTAGATCACTTCTATGTTTACAAAATGTCTTTCCTTCCTGTCACTCAAGCAAAACTTTGTAGTCTACACGAACAATATAAACACAATAAAAACCCCAACTATCTTGGATTTATTTCATGGCACAGCGTCTACTTTTGTTTCAAAACTGCATATTGACAAGTTTTTTAACATCGAAAAAAGGTTTTGGTTCACATTTGTGATATTTCCAAGTTATACCACAATGAAGGACTGGCTTTCCTAGATTCCCAGATGGTAGAACTAACTTGCACAACATAACACGGTTAAACATAGTTAAAGAAGAAAGGAACTAGTTAAATTCGTGTCTATTTAATCATGCACTACAGCAATAACAAGACTTGGAAAACTGCCTGCAGTTTTCCAGAGCACAGAGCTGGTATGTCTGCATTCTTTGAGGCACGGGATGCTTTTTCAATGATGAGGACTTTTGCTAGCATCATTGGGTCATCACTGCCCTTGCCTGTTATCACGTGTGTATAGTAGGCAGTGTGGACTTGAGGAAAAGGTCTGCTTTACCATCAAACTTACAGGAACTGATTGAGATGGAAACCAATATTTAAGTACATATCTTCCTTCGCACTAGAGATAGTATTTCTTCCTTACGCTTACAGTGAAGAGTGCGAGCGATGAGATGTCTAGGGAACTCTGAGAGTTTTAACTAAGGTGCTTGCTCTGTGGTATCTTGGTTTGTTTCTCAAGGGATTTATGATTACGTATGCCCAATGACGACTTGTGTATGGTATTGCTTATTTATAGCATCTGACTTCCTTGGGGTTAACTGGCCGGCCTGCCCTGATTCAGAATTTGTAAATAGACAGGTAGAGACATGCCTTCTCTAGGTACTCAATGTGACTTAGCAGGCTGATATTAATTAGCATCTGTCCTCTTTTCTTATACTCAATATGCAGAGGTGTCTGAAACTACTGTGCCTCATTAGAATTGAAGTGCAGCTTCCCACAAAAACAAGGTGAAGTTAAAACTGTGTAGTGACAACTACGTTCTAGAAACATTAAGAATGAAATGGGCTGGGATGCCACTCAACATTTGTTGTTTATTTGTAAGGCAAAAAGTTCCCAGGTGCTTAAAAAAAAAAAAGAAAAGAGAAAAGGCCAGGTGCTCATGGCTCACGCCTATAATCCTAGCTACTCAGGAGGCAGAGATCAGGAAGATCATGGTTCAAAGCCAGCCTGGGCAAATAGTTCACGAGACCCTATCTCGAAAAACCCTTCACAAAAAAGGGCTGGTGGAGTGGCTCAAGGTGAAGGCCCTCAGTTCAAACTCCAGAACTGCAAAAAAAAAAAAAAAGGGGGGGGGAAGAAAATAACGAAAACCCACACTCTACAGGTGTTAATTTTCTTAAGACTTAAGAATTTGGCTTCATTTACATTTTCTTCTGTTCACTTCTGACTTTCATTAAAGCTGCCAGGTATTTTGCAATTCTCCCTTGCTACTACTTGCATCTGTAACCTCTAGATAGATAGATAGACAGACAGACAGACATATATTCACAGAGAGTCTTTATAGATACAGATATACGATGATTCATATTCCAAGATGCTTATTTGGCCTCATTTGTCTAACATTACATAGCAGCTAGCTAACTGTTAAGAGCAACTTGGGCCTCTACTATTTTGTTTGCATGTTATTCTATTTATTTGCATTTCATTTGTTATTTGTTTACATCATTTGTCACTACAAGCTAGCAGCCATAGTGAGGGGGAGAGAAAGGTCAGAGGGATCTGTGAAAAGGAAAACAAATTTCCTTTTTCGGCACTATCTTTTGGTCCCTCTTTTTCAGAGATTTCTGCCTGCCTGTGAGTGTTTCATGGATTAGCTGTGCAGACCCTGGCTTTATGGGGCCGTAGGAAAACATGAGCATGGTGAAAAGGGAAGGTGAATCCTGGGTTCTTATCCAGTGGATTCATCAGAAGCTCTCATGGAAAAGTGTTCTGAGCACTGGAGCCTCAGCCAGCAGCTGGGCCTGCTGAGCTGGCTTCACGTGCAGCAGAGAAGGGACAACTGAACTGAACTGGCTGCACACCACAGTCAGAGCACTCAGCCACAAAGGCTTTTTCAGGGATCTGCATGCTGATCAGCTGTGGCCATGTGCCTGGGAGGAGGGAGTGTGTGGGATGTATTAGAAGGCCGCAGCAAGTGGCCGGGAGCAGAAGCCAGAGAGGTATTTGATGGGAGAAGGAGAGACAGTGGGGGGAGTTTAAGAGCCTGCGTTACTAGGGACCTTGGGGGCAGCACTTGCTCTTCCATCTGCCCAGACAACCGCAAGCCACTGAAGAGTACCACAGTCCTGAGTCCGCCAGAGAGGAAGTGGAGCCAGCTTCACTCTGTTAGAAAAGGGGAAATGCTCTCACCCCCCCCCCCGCCTTCGTCATTGCTGGCTTCAGTTTGGGTTCGGCTCCACTAAACTGTTGCTACCAGGATTAAGATTTTCCCCAAACTTTCCATTTTTACTCAACCTCAGATGCCTGAGTTCTGCTTGGCTTTCTATTTAAATTGTGAAATTAAAGGAACAAGGAAACTTGTAACAACAACAACAACAAAAAACTATATTTAGTATTTCCTTTTCAAATAGTGAAAATAAATGCATATGGCTACTGTGTTTTGCAAAAAGTCAAACCATATAGCAAGGAAGAGCCCACAACCAGAAAAAAACTCCCCGCTCAGTTCCACTCCCCAGAGTTGACCTCTCAGACAGGAAGCTTTTCAGTGAACCACAGGTTTGGAATCCCGAGCGTTTCCCAGTCAGGGTGCAGCGCCACAGGGGGTGCTGGCCAGGCAAGCACCTCTGTGAGCTTAGCACACGCATACCAGGTTTCAGACTAGAAGAAAGAAGGGTCTCAGCGCCCTGCCAGGTCGCCACCTCACTAAAGCAGGGGGCCTGGTTAATGCCCTCTGGACAGAGGAGCAAGCCTGAGCACAGAAGCCAGAGATCTGACCTGCCTTTGCTTCTACCCTGCACACCCATGCAACGGAGCTGGGAGACCCCTAACCTAACTGGCAGACACTGAGTCCCTCCTTCTCCCCTTCTGCAGGAAGAAGAGAAGCCCACGCTCTACGTGTTCAGTGCTGTCACCCAGGAGACCGTGCCGATCGTGGACAGCTCCCTTCTTGGTAAAAAAGTGTCTGACCTGAGGACGCTGGTCACTCTGAGATGTGGCTTTCCCGTGAGCGTCTACTGTCTGCGGACCCCCCAGGGCCTGGAGATGTTCGACTGTAACAGCCTGAAGGCCTACCAGATCGAAACCGGTACTGTCAGTTCTGTCCTGCTACTGCCAGCTCCGGGGCGGGGCTGTCAGCACCAGGGCTTGTTAATACCAGATTTTGCACCTTTCCAAGAGAAAATGGAAATCTGGAAGTTTAAGTGCAAGCTGTCAACTTCGTTTGCTTATTTACTGTAAAATAATTAAGCCACAGTTTAGCTATCAGAAGTGTGAAAAGATGTCACCCAGGTGTCCTGGCGCTCCAAGCACTCAGTCCCCTCCACAGGCGGCCGTCGTTGTTCTGAGGAGCTAGAATCTGAAGTCACAGCAAAGGGAGTTGCTTCTAAGGTGGAGCCTCGGAAGCACAGCACAGATTTAAACCATCAAGGCTCGGCCCTGTGTAGGGTCCGTAGACTGACAAGTGAGGCAGGCCTCAAAGCAGGTTTACTCATGTCTCAGGAGGGGACAGCAAAAGTCACAGCGCTTCGTCGCTTTCTCTTCAAAGTGTATTTCAGCATCTGTCTAAGTAAGTTCAAGTGCATGTTCTTTTCTTCCTCTCTGTGCAAGCCATACACACCGTTGCAGTCATTTAAAAATGTTGCCAGGTCTATTAAAGCAATCTCTTTATCACTGTGGCCCTAACTCTGTGCAGGATGAAAAGCTCCCTTAGTAGGTGTCTGATAGACAGACTCCAGTCATGTCTGCTGTAGCCAGACATCAACAAGACAACGCAAATCTGACACACTGTCACCTGTCTTACCCACGTGAGAAAATGACTTGAGCCTGAGGTCACTGCGTGGAGAAACCAGTCCTCTGGCAATCAGTACATCTTCAAGTGAGGCTGTGCAGTGTCGCTAGTGGCAGCAGAGCCTGAGTCCTCCCGACACACACACCACACACCACACACACACCACACACACCACACACCACACACACACACACCACACACACACAACACACACAACACACACCACACACACACCACACACACACACACACACACACACACACCACACACACCACACACACCACACACACCACACACACACACACACACACACCACACACACACACACCAACACACACCACACACACCACACACACCACACACACACACACCACACACACACCACACACCACACACACACACCACACACACCACACACACACCACACACACACACACACCACACACAACACACACAACACACAACACACACACACACACACACCACACACAACACACACACACACCACACACACCACACACACCACACACACACACACACACACACACACCACACACACACACACCACACCACACACACCACACACCACACAACACACACAACACACACACCACATACCACACACACACACACACACCACACACACACACACACACCACACACCACACCACACACACCACACACCACACCACACCACAACACACACAACACACAACACACCACACACACCACACACACCACACACCACACCACACACACCACACACACACACACCACACACACACCACACACACACACACACACACACCACACACACACCACACACACCACACACCACACACACACACACACACACACACCACACACACCACACACCACCACACCACACACACACACAACACACACACACACACCACACACACCACACACACACACACACCACACACCACACACACACACCACACACACACACACACACACCACACACCACACACACACACACACACACACACACACACACCCCACACACACCACACACACACACACACAACCACCACACACAACACACACACACACACCACACACACCACACACCACACACACACACCACACACACACACACCACCACCCACACACCACAACACACACCACACACAACACACACAACACACACACACACACCACACACCACACACACACACACCACACACACACACACACCACACACCACACACACACACCACACACACCACACCACACACACCACATACACACACACCACACACACCACACACACACACACCACACACCACACACCACACACACACAACACACACAACACACACACACCACACACCACACCCACCACACACACCACACCACACACACCACACACACACACACCACACACACCACACACACACACACCACACACCACACACACACCACACACACACACCACACACACCACACACACACACACACACACACACACACACCCACACACACACCACACACACCACACACACACCACACACACACACCACACACACACACACCACACACCACACACACCACACACACACATCACACACACACACACACACCACACACCACACACACACCACACACACACACACACACACACACACACACACCACACACACACACACACACACACACACACACCACACACACACCACACACCACACACACACCACACACCACACACACACACACACCACACCACCACACACACCACACACACACACACCACACACACACACACACACACACACCACACACACACACACACACGACACGCTTGCAAGGCGATTTGCTTTCTCTAGCTGCTAAGCCTGCTCTTGCTGATGCTTCTCCCGACGACTGCACTGAGCTAGCTGTGCTCTTCCTGCTGGTTGACATCAAGCTCTCAGAACTTTAATGGCAATTATTGTCCCCATTTTGCCCAGAGGAAATGAAGCGGTAGGCTTGTCCCCGAGGACATTACTAGCTCTGCAGGCTTGCTGGAGGCCGAACCCTGCCTGCACTGTGACATGACAAGGGCTCCGAACGTGACTAGGCTTACGTGAGGAAGGGCACTCAGAGCCACTTGTCCCCAGGCTCTGCAATGAAATTGTTTAGTGAAATACCAAAACAAACAGAGATGAACTGGATGACTGGCCCTCAGTCCTACACTGCTCAGGTCACAGTGACATTTTAGAGCTGGAAAAGAATTTAGAAGTGGCTTGGCCTAAGCACCTTTTACAGATTAAAAAACAAAACATAGCTTCTGAATGGCTCCCTCAAGGTGTGTGAGGAGAAAATCCCACACCCTTCAAACAAGCCTCTGAGGGAGGAGGCTTGAGAGGGGGGTGTTCAGAGCCTGGACGGCTGCTGGGTAGACTGACTGACCATCCCCAGAACTCAGGGCATTGGAGAAGAGGCGAGGGAAAGGCCCCAAGGGGAAATGGCAGGGCCCCACCCACGTCTTACCTTTGCCTAAAGCACACCTTGCACTGCCTCGGGCACCTGGCCTGCTGATTTTAACCAGGGGAATCCTTAGTCAGCTTGTCTTCTAGATTCTCCCCTTCCAGTCAGTGTGTCATCCCTGCTGCTATCAGAACTTAAACTTTAGTCCCTCTCCAAAGCAGGGAAAATAAGGTTTTGGAGGTGGATATGGTGGAACACACCTATAATCCCAGCACCTGAGAGGCCGCGGCAGGGGGATTGAGAGTTCAAGGCCAGCCTGAATTATAGAACACATTCCAGGCCAGCTGGAGCTACATAGTAAGATACAAAACAAAACAAAAAAACTTTAGAGAAGCAGTCAAGTGTCAAGTCCGGGTTGAAAATCAAAGATTTAAGTATCACAGTTAGTCACTGTGCATACCAGCTCATGCAGAAATCCACAAAGCTGCCCTGCACCCGAGGTGTGTAGAGAAGGGGGAACAGTGAGACAGGTGTGTACCCTCGGTCATAATCCAACAGGGCGGCTTGGCGCAGGCTGGAGGGCTCATGGGAAGGCACTCCCGGAGCACATGGGGACACAGGAACCGTGGGCTGTCTGGGGGAGGAACAGAAGAAAGTCCAGGCTTCCAGGCCAGGGCAAAAGTCAAGCCACAGACTCGTGGACATTGGCTGGTCCCAGGGAGGACACAAAGCAGGAGACTGTGGAAAGTGGAGGGGCCTGACAGTGAGCAGAGCTGCATCATCTGATCAGATGTGGCATGAACAGTAGGGAGGAATGAGGAGAGGCTGAGAGAGGGTGGCCGCTAACTGGCACTCTGACTAATCCCAGGGCCAGCTAACTGCACAGCAGTGGAGGGACACAGGAAGGACAGACAGGAAGGCGGCTGGTCACAAGTAAGAACAGGAAGCACTGAGATGGAGTCCAGAATGGCAGTGGGAGATAGGGAAGGACTGTGCTCTGGGCCCCAGCTCGAGACACAGGAGATTCAGAGTGTTCCTTTATACTCAGCTGTTAGCCCAACAGCTCTTCCAGTTCTCCTCCACAACAAACATGGAGCAGGGGCTTGGGTGGTGGGTTCAGCTGGCCCATATTGAAATAGGTGTCCCGCCCATGAAGGTGGCACTGAGCCCGGTGAGAGGTGCTTTCTCTGGAGCAAACATACAGAAGGATGTAGCAAAGGCCAGCGGCCAGCACTCAGCACCTGCTAGGTCAGCTTCCAGTCAGGAGAACCGGGACTTGTATTCTAACAGACACGGAGAACAGGCTGTTTTCAGGATGCTGGTGATAGACCAGACAAGTCTAAGACTTTTTATTTGGTTTAAAGGTCACTGGTGAGCTCAGAGAGCAGCTTTAACAAACTGAATGAAGACTGAAAAATTGTAGAGATTAAGACAAGAAATGGGATGTTCTTTTTGGCAATAAAACATTTAGTAACCAACTTACCAAGAATTATAAAGCTAGCTGGACATGGTTGTACACACCTGTAATCCCAGAACTCAGAAGGCTAAGACAGGATTGTCAAGTTTTGTTTTTGTTTTTTGTTTTTTTTTTCTTTGATAAGGGGATTTGAACTCAGGGCTTCACGCTTGCTAGGCAAGCACTCTCCCACTTGAGCCGCTCCTCCTGCCCTTTTTGGTGTTGGGGTTTTTCAAGATAGGTTATCATGAATTATTTGCCTGGGGCTGATTTCGCACCTCGATCCTCCTGATCTCTGTCTCCTGAGTAGCTAGGATTACAGGCGTGAGCCACTGGCGCCTGGCCACACCCCTCTTCCTGTGTGGGACAGATGCTCCCTTTAGCCCACTTTTTCTCAAGTCTGTGTCCC